ACTCATTCATCTAGAGGGCAATGCCATTGGCTGGAACACTGCTGTTTCTGTCAACTGAATGCCTATTTGTGGCATTTCCAGCATGGCGACCCCAGAGGAGGTGGCTTCTTCCATGATGGTTGGATTCTCCCAAAATAACCAAGCAGAAGCAATATGGAATTTTTGGCCATGAAATGGTATAGTCTTGACTGTCATGTGCCATCATTTCTATTGGTTAGAACCAAGTCACTAAAGTTAGATTCAAGATGAAAGGGCAGGGATTCCACCTCATTATTGACAGAATGTCAAATAATTTTCAGATGTGTTTTCAAACATCTACAGTGACTGATACACAATACCTGAAGCCCAAACTGAGCCCTTACAGGGAGTGTGGTGATACTTTTCATGGGTGAGGTCATGTTCCCTGGGATGAAGTATATGCTCTGAATCCCCATCCAACATATGGGACTCTTCCTCCCATAGCCAAGATACACAGACGTGGCTCCAAGGGATAAAAATGAGAGTGAACTCCTCTCACTATGACCCTAATGGTTAAGTATTTGGGTATGCTTTAATTCCTGTTCATGCAATGTTGGGTTCTGCACTGTATAGGCATTTGTTCCAAAGGAAAGAGTGCCTCCTTTCAAGAACACAACAATGCAGTCTTCTGACTGGAAGTTGAAACAATTTGGCCATGTTGGGGCCCTTGTGTCAGTGAGCTAACAGGACAAATGGAAGTTTGGGTGCTGGGCAATGTGACTATCCCTGGAAAATGGCATGGTGCTACTCAAGGAGGGTGGTGAGAGAACAGGGTGGAACAAAGCTGAGCTGCAGATGGTTCTCAGGCATCTCTTAGAACTTCCTCATTCTGAGCTAACTAACAATACTGTTGTGATTTGGATCTGACATGTTCCCCTCAAAGCCCCTTGTACTCAGAGCTGAGGCTTGGGCAAGGTGGTTGGACTGGGGGGCTACAGCTGACTTGCTCTTAGGAGGGTCTGGCTAAACATGGATCACTGGAGGGATAATCTGGAAGTCTGTATCTCCCTCCTTGGCTCCTCCTTTCTCTGCTTCCTGGCTGCCACAACTTGAGCAGCTTTCCTCCCCACGTCCCTTCCACCATGCTTCTACCTTGGAGCCCATTGACTATAGACTAAAACTGCTAAAACCGTGAGCCCAAATAAACTGTTCCTTGAATTTGTGGGTGTTGGATACTTTGTTCCAGTGATAGGAAAGTAACTAATAAAACACTGAGAGCCAATTAACCCATTAGAGTCAGGGTTGGTAGCAGCAGGGAATGTCCAGGAATGGGGTGGGGGGTTCCAGCAGGCCAGGAACCATCACAGGTGAAGTGCTTGCTGAGGGAAAGGTAAAGTAACAGGTCGTAGAAGGAAACTATAGGTGCCAGTCACTAGCTACAACCTTGTGATCAGCTTGAATGAGAACCAGACTTGGCCCAAGCCCACCTCCTAGGAGCTGGACCATGAGCCTAAGGAGCAGCAGCTAGAGAGCCCATAGTTTCAGTGGAGGGCCATTTCCCACAGACCTGCCCAGTCCAAGGGCTCCTTGGACTGCTATAGCACTGCAGGTCCGCACAAGCTGGGAATGGTCCCTTTACCTTTTTCTCCAGTGCTCTGGGTCTCACTCCAGGCCCACCCATATCTGTGTCAGAGTGCACTCTCACAGTTCACCCCTCATTCCCATCATGTTTACAGTGGCGGAGTTTTCTTGACTGAGTGCTGACTGGTAAATTTGGGTTCTCTGCTAAGATATTAGCAGAGCTTTCTTTGTAAGCCTTTCTATTAGAGAGCAGTCCTATCAGAAGAAGTACCCCATTGTCCTTTACCACCTTACTGTGTTTCATTCTACTTCAAAGTTCTTACCATCGCCTGATGTACAGCTGTCTCTATACTTGTCTGCCTTTTTTTTCACCAACTGTATTAATCTGTTTTGCATTTCTACAAAGAAATACAGGAGAGAAGCTAACTTTGTAAAGAAAAAAGAGCTTCCAGTCTAGGAGGATCAAAATCTAAGGTTGGGCAGCCCCAGTGGATTGGCCCCTGGAGAGGACCCCAGAGTAGATAGTATCACATCATGGCAGAGCACATGCGTGAAGAAGGGGTCACATCTCAAAAGAGACCTAGAGATGACACAAGGGTCAGGTCTAGGATTTATAACAGCTTCCTCTCAGGGGCACTCACTCCAGGAGACCAGCGTGGCCCTCTGAGGGCAGCACCCACAGTGGCCTAGGACCTCCCACTGCACCTCACCTCTCGAAGGCTCCACCTCCTCCCACTAGCCACACCCTGAGGACCAAGTTCCCAACACATGGACATTTTGGGGTACACAAAGCATTTCCAAGCCATAGCACTGCAGCACTCAGGACTCGTAGCACTCAAGGATTCGCTGAATGAATACTTGAGGAAGCCTGATTTAGATGCTGGTGTATCATGACGAGAGTGAGAACATACACTGTGGGACACTGAATTCATAGTCTTCTAGATAAAGAAGAGGTTAAGTGATAAAAAAAAAACTAAAGAAGGAAGTAGAAGAGGAGGGGTATGGTGGGGAGGTAAAAGGTGAAGAAAGGGAAGGAAGAAAAAGAAATGAGGGGAAGGAGTAGAGCAGAGAGCAAGAAGTGGAGAGGGAGGAATAGAGTTCTGAGTGCCTGTTTGGTGATGGGCTAAGTGCTTTATGCAGGAGATCTGAGGACAAGCTTAGGAGATAAGAAGACTGGTTCTTCTCAGACATGAAGCCACTAAGGCTGGGCAGAGGAAGGAGGTGCCAAAGGTCTTCGCAGTGACTCAGCTGGAATCCACATTTGCCGTTATACCATCCCACCTGACAGAGCAGGTAAGCCACAAAAGGAAAAAGTAGAACTCTGCCTAAATCACATTACAACATTCCGATTGGTCTGAAATTATAGTTTTAACTTCTGGACTTGGCCAATTTTCTCAAGTACCAACTTAAGAACCAGTCTTTTTATCTAGGACTTAATCTGTTTTGTAAATAGGCACTTCTGTGATTTATAATCAGTTTCATGTAATAGTTTAATGAATATTCCCATCAGTTTACTGAATATTTTCACCAAACATCTTTTCATTATAGGCAAATGATGAGATTTAGCACACTTAAGTTATGCATTTTAATCTTAAACTCACTTAGGAATATTATTATACAAAGTAGGAGTTAAAGCATTAGAGAGTAACAATGATAAATCTGTTTGTCCTGTAAATGTCATGCACTGTTCTCCGCCTTGAATAAAATGGGCCCTGGTGGTTCAAAGCCTCATGTTTCAAATAAGTGGAGGCACTTCAGGGTTATCTTCAAAGTCTGAGGCTTCCTCACTCGGTGCAGTTTCAGGTCTCCTGGACATGTGCTTCTTCTCCTGAACTATGGATGTCACATCAGGGAATGAATGCTTGCTAGGATCGACTTCTAGTTTCTCGATTTGCTTGCTGCTACAACAAAAGAAGCAAAGAGAAATTAACATTTAAAATTAAGTTCCAAAGAGATGCAGCTCATTTGTTCATTTATTCAGCAAGTGTTAGCAGGTGCTACCTACACAGCCCAGAGATGAAATTAGAGACTGTCCCTGGCTTGAAGTAGCTTAGAACCTTGTAGAAGCAAGATTTTGAACCACGGAGAAATAAAGTGTTAAAGAGTGCTACAGAGGTCTGCGAGTAACAGGCAGTTGGAGAAGTCACCTGAGAGCCTCTGCCTACCTAAGAACTTTTTTTTTTGGTCAATTGAAATGATACAGCAGACAGAGGCACATAGGCAGGATCACTGAGACTCATTCTAAGCTGCGGCTACTCAGGCTTCCTGGCCCTGCTTCTTCAGACAGTCCAGCCCGCCATGGTTTGGCAGGGCAGTTAGACTACAAGTGCAGGTGCACAGCAAAGCTTGGCCCATCAACTTCCCCTTCCGCAGGAACCTGCTCCTACTGTCTCCACTCAGGTCTCTCAGCAGTAGCAAGAATAACACAACCAGGCCGAATCTCATTAGCCAATGAGTCCCAATGTGGTCACAGAGAAAGCTCTGTAGATGACACGTTCCTGGGATGCTTTCCAGGCAATTTTTATTCAATTGGACTGATGCTGGACCCAACGATCTGTGTTTTTATAAAGTCCCTGAGTGATTCTGATATTCACTCACATTATTTTGACATCATTCCAACATTCATTCATTCATTCGACAGATATCTGTTCACTGCCACTGTACTCCAGGTGCTGTGGTAGGCAGCAGAGTCTGTGAGGAACCAGGTTCCTGGTAACTTCTGAGCTCACCACGGTGTTCTGCCAGAGAATCTACTACAGCCTCCTATCATTGTCTCATGATTGCTCAGCTTTCCTATAAAACCAACACTTTGGACACCAAGAGTTTGTCTTTTTCATCTTGTATCCTTGGCATACAGCTGTATTGAATAAATATTTGCTGAATCAGTGAAAAAATCTTACTGTTCTGTTGGAGGAACTATGAGATTATGTTAGACATTATCTCTGATGTAAAGGAATCACAATCAGTCTAATTTGGAACTTCGAACTGATGTCCTTAGGCAAACTCCACCTGGCTTTCACTTTTTGTTGGGAAGAAGGCTCGATTGTCTTTTGAAAGTGTAAATTCTCCATTGTTCTTGAGAAGCTTCCCCCTCATTCCTGTACTCTGCTTAATCCTTGCAGACATTTGAGTTTTTAATTTTTTGTTGAAGAAAACCACAAAGTACTGTAGATGGTACCTCAGTTCAGCAGCACTTTCGTTTGTGAACAATTTGGTCTGCAAACAGAAGCATTTGGCAAAATTTTGTTTTTGTTTGCAAATTCTGCATTAAGTGACAAACACAGCTGTGGTCATCTTTCCCACACGAACAGGAACATGGCCATCTTTTTCAGAACTATGGAACAAATTAAGTTCATAATGGAGATACTGCTGTATACAAAGAACATAAAATCATGCATTCTTGAAGACCCTGATTGCACCTATACACTGTAACCCATTCTCTCCCCGCTCTGGCTCTTGTCTTTTTTTTTTTTTTTTTAAAGTAAATCAACTTTTCAGTGTCAAATTCTAAGATTAAATAGTACTAAATGATGACAGCACATTAAAATAGTGGACAAAATTTCTGTAATTTCACAATGAAATCTTTCAATGTTCTATTCTAGTTTTCTTTCATTCTACAATATTCCAAATTCTAAAAATAAACATGTTTTTAGTTACATGAAAATTGCAACTTAAAGAACTGGAAATTAAGTTTTTTCAAATGTTATAAAATGCGATAAAGACATGACATGATGATCATCTTGAAATCATAAAATACTAATCAACATTATACTCAATCAACATTAAGGAAAAAAGTTCTTATTCAGTTGAACACAGTCTAGAGTCTCACAATAGCAAATTGTAGTGTAAAGAGGCAAAGTAGTACAAGCTTTCCACACACACAAATTATGAATACTGATTTGAAATACCACAAGCTCCATGTTAGAGCCATTTAATAAACATGTTTATAACCGTTTCTTGAAAAACTACTTAGGTAAAACATTTAGCATTTAGCATTGATTTTAATTTATTTGCATCTATGCAACTTCCATCCATATTAAAATATTAATCAATGTAAATAGTTTATTATAAAACTATTTTACAATTTAAATTTTATTTGAGAAATGTATTCACATCCACAATTTCTTAAAAGTCTTTTTTATGAGTGCATTCCATAAGAAATACATGAAAATTACTACTTCTGGCTCTTGTCTTGAAAATGGTGTAGTATGAGGTCTATAGGCACAGCAGTGGGAAATGAACCAAGTATAGTTTATTAGAAAGAACAAAGAAAAGCTCTTGCTAACCAAGAGGGGCTGCAAGGGAGGATGCCGAGGAAGCGCCCAGTTCAGGAGTTTATACGCACTCGTTGAAACAATGTGGTTTTGCTTTTTGCTAGGCTTGTGAGGTCGGGAAGAGCAGGCTTCCCTTGCACCCCAACTTCTCAGGATATATCTCAGTTGACCAGGGCCCTTGTCCTTTGAAACCACGCGCTTGTCGTTTTAAGCCAGGCCTCTGACAGTTTCTCGTCCCCCTTCAGTGAGTGCTTTCCCTTGTGTTCCGGTTTTCCCAGGGCTTATCTGTGTTTACTCAGGTCCCTGTCCTAACTGTCTATTGTTGTCTATCTCCCGGTCTCAACACCATTTGTGCTACAGGACAAAGAAGAAATCCCCTTCTCAAAGGCTGTGCACCCTTTGAGCAGGGAAAAAGGGAGAATTGAAGCTGCCCCGAAGGAACGTCAAGGAGGATGAGCAGAAAAGGGACTCCAGGGCTCCAAATAAACGACTGGTTCCAGAGGCAGGTCTAGGGCCCACCTTCTTCTACGATGGCTCTGTGCAGTGCTATGCAGTGACTTCTCTGCCTTTAAAGGCACCAACATTTATGGCGTTAGCTACGATGCTGCTCAGTGTGAATGCACAGCAAACCGTTGGTGGCTACCTGCAGGGGAGAGTACACACAAGGCCAGAGAGGACCATCTGTACAAAGGGGCTCTGCTTGGTCCACAGCCCCTGTGTTGACAGGAAACCTTCTCTGTGTGGTAAAGGAAGGCAACATGTGCAGGCACCTTGGTCTGCAGTCCTTCTGGAAGTGTAGAACTTCGGTAATGCATGGGGCAGAAGGTGCCTGCCAGCTTCTGAGGAAGACTCTGAGCACTGAGTTTCCAAGGAGCGGCCCTCGGGTTACCGGAACTTGCCTCCAGAGGAACAAAGTATGTCCGAAGTGACCCCACAGGAGGTGACTCTTAGCAACACCAGGACTTTTCGGGCTTTGCCTTTTACTGATGTAACTTTGCATTCTTTTGCTGTAATAAATATTAGCCATGAGTATGACTATGTCTTGAGTCTTGTGAGTCCTTCTAATAAATCACTGCCCATGGGGTCACTGTAAGGCCTCCATGACACTGGCCTCTGCTAAACCTCATGATAATTCTTTTACTTATATCATCCCATTCTCATTTGGGCAGAAAAAAGAAACTGAAGAAGTAAGAATTAGGAAGAAAGTGATAATTTTTTGCAGATATAGAGAAAATCTAAAAGAATCCACAAATAAATTAGTAAAATAAGAGATAAGTAGGGTACAAAATCAAACATAAAAGTGAATTAAATAGTGGTGACAGCTGTGGAATGTGGTGATCAAAATAAATGTCACTGCATTGTACACTTTCAAATGGTTGAAATGGTCAGTTTGATGTTTGTGTATTTTGTCACAAAAAAAGCAAAATGTAACTCTACATCCTAGCAACAGACAATAAATAATATAAAATATATTTGTAATAGCAAAAATACCACACACCTGAAAAAAAATTAATAAAACTTGGGTACACTTATGAAAAAGGCATCCTCCCTGAATTGATCTACCTGTCTACTTCCAAATCAAATCCCAATATACATCTATGTGTACGTGTGTGTGTGTATGAGTATGTGTGCACGCGCTAGGATTCAGATGTGGTTTGTCCTCCTAAGTTTCATGTGTCAGTTAGGAGCCTGGTCCCACCCAGTGTGGCACATGGGAGCTGATGGAGCCTTTATTAGGCAGAGCCTGCTAGGGGGTCCTTAGCCACTGGGGGTGCTGTCCCCCAAGGGCACCCTGGTCTCCTGGGGTGAGTTCTCGGGGAAGTGAGTGGTAAGAAAGCCTGAAGGGACCTCTGGTCCTCTCTCTGCTTCCTGTTTGGAGATAAGATTGCTTCCTCACACATGTATCTCCACTAAGAGGTAACACAGCTGAGAAGGCCCTCACCAGAGTGGAGTGGATGTCAGCACCATCAGCTCACCTCCCAAACCGTGAGATAAATACATTCCTTTTATTTGTAAATTTACCCTGTCTCTGATTTCTCATTTTAGTAATACAAAATGGACTAGTGTCATTTGTGTGTGGAACTTGACAAGTCGACTCTAAAATGTATATGGAAGTGCAAAGGGCCAAGAATAGCCAACTCACTCTTCACGAAGAATAGAGGAAAAGACTTTTCTAAAGCTGTAGAAATTAAGGAAGTTATACAGAATAGAGTCCGGAAACAGAACCCAGACCTCCACCACCTTGGATGTCTGATCTGTGACACAGACAATCTTGATGACCAATCCAGAAAGGACAAGCTTTTAAATAAGAGACACCAGGACAGGAAGGTATCCATACTGCATGAAATTCAGTTGCCATGCCTGAAGCAGAAGTCAATTCCTGATGGATTAAACCTAAACATAAAAGTCAAAAGTATAAAGCCATTCAAGACAAGGGACTACCTCCCTTTGTTACCTCAGGGTAGGTTGGGAGTTTTAGAATAAGACAAAGCATTAGCCATTAAGGCATTAAAATTTTTATTATTTTTAAATTAAAACCTAGTCACTAAAAGACAGCATGATAAGAATAAAAAGGCAAGTCCGAAGGTTCATAGTCCCAGCCCCATCACTTGCCAACTCCGTGATCTTGGCAAATTCCACCTTGTAGAACTGCAGTGAAGTAGAAATAACGGCACTTATCTTGTAGTGCAGTTCTGAAAGTTACAGAGAAGGTCTAGCGTCGTGAGCACACAGTCAGCACTCCGTGGACACCTCCGCTTTTGAGGAAGCTGTGAATCTCCCCTCACACCCGTGTCCTGGGACCACAATCAGGAGAGCACTGATGTCACCTTCCAGTCCCGATGAATAGAACCCTGCCCTGCTCTTCTGCTCCCTCATTTATCCCGTCTGCATAGAGCACTCTGGCCAGGAAAGGGCGAAGCCCTTGCAGCCCGCCCGGAGGAAGGACCACTGCCCCTCTCCTCCTTTCCCAGAAGCCCCCAGCCCAGGCCAACCGCAGTACTCCATGCAGCCTGAAGGGGCCAGTGTCTGGACAATCCGGTCGCCCAGACAGAGGCAATGTGCAGCATGAAGTTTGTTAACAACTGAAGAGCACTGCAAACGACCTTCACTTAGACATGTTATTTGTGGTTATGATGTGAGCGTTTCTCAGAAATAAAGGTGAAAAAGAAAGGCTTTGCAAAAACACTGTGAAGAACTCTGCTAAGATGTCTCAGCACCTCAAGAGTAATCTCAATAGTGATAGTTTTCCTGGGGTCTGAAAACCAGCTCCAAACTCTGCACAGTGATTTGGCTTCCAGTCTCTGTGATTCCTCACAAATTAGATTCAGTTGTACATGCATTAAGGGTGCTGGGGAGGTTAATTATGACTTTGAATATGCATAACAGTCATGATACCCTGGAATCTTGTATCTGCAATGGAAATCACTAAGTAGAGAAATAGGAATGGATTTCCAGGGCTAAAAAGAGTAACCCACTTTTCAGGAAGAATTCAATTCCATACCTATTGTTCAAACAAATCCCACAATTAAAAATCTATAAAACTTCAACAGTTGTCTCTGAATATACTGCGACTGCTTTATTATGCAACATGCAAGTATAGCTCTTGTTCAGGTATTTTTATGATGATAATTCTAGCATATACATTTGTATCACAAAGATAGTCTGCCTCAGTTCAAAATAGATTTTACCATCTGGATTTTAAGAGTCTTGAAATTGTGAGAAATAGCAGGGTATTGAGAGGACTGGGATCTCATTCTATGGGGAACTGAGAAGTAGGGTGCTCAGGTAAAACACACTAAGGGCTGTCCTGCTAGGGCATTTCGGTCTTGTCCTGAGGTTCTCCAGGTAGCAGAGCGGGGATCCTTACTTAGGGGCAGGAGAGAGGCAGGGAGGCATCGAACACTGAGGAAGACTGAGAATGGGTGAATATTCCCTTAAAAGGGTCATGTTGGGAAAGGAATTTAAGCAAAGGCCAAAGATGATCTTTGCTCAAGAGAACAGCAAGAGAACTCTTACACCCCTGTAGCCTGAGCATCGAGAAGTCTGAAGCGACACACGAGTCATAAAAAGGAGGGGCAGGAGAGCAAAGGTATGAGCAGGACTCACTGGAGTTCTCTCAACATTTCACAGCTACATGACCTTCAGGACACTCAAAATTTCTCTCTCTCTCAGTTTCCCCTCTGCAAAGAGGATAAAATTCTGAGGATGAGATGTATGAATGTGGAGAAAGCACACAGACTCGTGCCTGACACAAAGCAAGTGTCAGAAAGTGTCAGCAGTCATTGGAGTTGATATCATCGCTCTTATTACTATTTTCACAGGAAACTGGGACCTGTAGGGGCACAGACTGGTGTTTCAGAGATTAAGAATCTTACAAATCTGGGGTCTAAGGATTTAGATACAAATGTGAACATGCATGGCCTGAATCATTTTTACTTTTTACTTTTTAAAATTTTTTTATTTTTTTATTTTGTTGGTACTGGGGATCAAACTTGGGACCTTGCGCTTGCAAGGCAGGCGCTAGAACCACTGAGCTAAATCCCTGGTCCCTGAATTATTTTAAAATTTTAAACAACTTCATCATTTTAGATGCTGCACTCTGGCCAGCAAGGGACAACACAGACAGCAATGTGATAAAGCTCAGGGCAGCCTGTGATGTGGTACCTGGTGTGGGTCTGCTCTCTGCTGCCATCCGAGGTGGTCTTCACAGACTTGGGTGTTCGTCGGCTGCCTGTGATTACTTCTTCTACCTAAAATAAAAACACAACACACAACAAGTGGCATGTTATTCCCTGACATATGCTAAAAAAATATACATTATATGCATATATGTAATTTTTAAAAGATACTAAAACATCTTAATTTTTTTCTCCACATTTTCAATGAAAGAGTCCAACGTAAGGCCCTTGCATGGCATACAGGAGGTGATATCACAAATTGGATCTGTTCATAGTTGTCTTCCAGAGTCATAAACTATCCAACAATTGCAAAACCAAGCAAAGGGATTTGGTGAATACATTTAACAGATTTTATCAGAGAGCCAACGACATGCCACCCCATTCCAGGAGAGGGTGGCGTTGAGGACACAGCTTGCAGGCAGTGGTGCACTAGTGGGCGGCACCTTGAGCTGGAAGCTCGCAACCTCATCCCAGGGCACTGCACCCGGCTTCTTCCTCTCTGAACGTGTGAGGGATCAGATTGTACACCCACAGGTCCCTTCTTGGGAATTCTGTAATTCTACTTCTTCTAAACTAAACAAGTTCAGTGCTAACTATCCTGAGGTCCCGATAAATAAAGCAGATTGAGTCTATTCATCAAACACACTGCAAAGAGCATTTGGACCCTGCAAGTTCACTGAAGAAACTCATCACATGGCAGTGCAGAGGGAGGAGAGAGCCTGCTGCTAACCACCGCCCAGACACTAACCACAGGCAGGGCACACAAGTGTCACCGTTAGATACATTAACCCAACGTCATTGCTAGGAGACAGCGATTGCTCCTGGACCAACTGAAGGAAATTTAAAACTTTCTTCCTGTTGCCAGGGTCCAAGGACCAAGGCAGGAGGAGGCTTTTGTCCCTGCTTTTTAAGGACAGAGATCTGAAGTGGACATCACGCCTCTCTTTACCTTCCACACAAACTTCTCTTTGGCAGAGGAATGACTCACTCACCTGTCACAGCTTCCTGACAGGGTCACCATTCTGAAAGGTGGGGGCCACCTGCCACCTTTCCCCATTCTGCATGACACTTGGTGTGTCGCACAACGGTGGTCTCCAGCTCCACAAAGTTGGCCAAGGACAAAACCTCTGCCTGGACTTTGAGACAGACTACCAAGCTCCATCTGCTGGCTTGGGCAAGCAAGTTGGACACACAGCCTGCATTTGAAGGTAGCTGAGGACCCTAGTGTAGCTTCGACCCTACCAGGGCAGGTGGTTAAATTAATATGAGGCATGACTGAAAAATAAAGTGAATGTTTAATTTTTAAAAATTTATTATAATAAAAGACACTGCCTTTAACCCTCTGCCAAATACCTTCCTTAACTTTGAATACACATCTTATAGCTCTTGCCACTTTCTGAAGCAGTTCTGGAAGTGCTCTTTGGGGACAGTCTTTAGTTACACTGTCATGGCTGCCTCAGGTTCCTGAATGGATTCAAAATGTTCACCTTTCGTGGTCCTTTTGACTCTGGGGAAGAGCCAGATGTTGCATGGTGCCAGACATGGTGAATAAGGTGAATAAGGACATAGTATAATGTTTTTACAAGCCTGCCTTTCTTCTGGGTGGCACGTGGCAACAGCAGTCACTATATTTTTGAGTAGCTTGAAAGATACCCAGAAAAGTGGCATTCTAGAACTGCTTCAGGGAATGGCAAGAGTGATGGCATAAGGGTGCTCAAAGCAAGAGAGGTATCGTAAGGGAATGAACAGCAATGTGTCTTTTACTGCAATAAATTTAATTTAGGCATTCACTGTATATTCTGATCACCCCTTGTGCACAAGAGAATTTGTTTCCCATTGGATCAAGGACTTTCGGTGGAAAGCTGTATGGCCAGAACCTCAGAAAGAGATGTGTCAGTAAATGGATGGTAAAGGAGTGGATGAAGGAAGGAATCTTGGTGACACTTGTGTCTCGGTCACACTTGGTCACACTTATGTGATTTAGTTCAGCTCCTGTATATGGGAGAGCATGACCTCAGGTGTGTCTTCCCCCCCTCAGAGGCTGTGTGAGAGGGTATGCATGTGATTCAGAAAGGAAGATCTGCTTAAGTTCCACCTTTCAATGTAGGCTTTGCACACCAAACTTTGCACACCAGTAATACCTGGAAGCTTCCCAAAGCCAGATTGTGGCTGAGATACAGAGGAAAGAACAATGAATTCTATACTGTTAAAGATACTACATTTCAAGGCTGGAAGAGCTTGTTTGGAAATGTTTTAAAAGAGGTGCAGTCCGCATTACAAAAACTCACAGGAGATGCTATGGACTCACACCACCAGAGCAACATTCACTGAATAATTAAAGCAGGTGACTCATACAGCAGAGAAAGATTCTATTATCAAGCATGTCTGGGTTTGGAGTAGGCTAGTTCTACAATGTTTCATTTGTTATGTTTAAAATAACAGTTAATAGAATTTTATTGTTTGCCAGTAATTTTTTGCTGGCCAGATGTGACAGGATACAAATGTTTACATAATGTTTTAATTTGAAAACTACTAGGTTTCTTCCATTTCTGTAACTAAACCAGGAATACAAACATTTCCTCATAGCTTGATCTACATTTAAAAATTGGGAAAAAAAATTCAGCTACTATTGCTTCCATTTATGGCTTACTAAACCAAATTAATATGCTTGGTAAATGAGAACAGAAATAGAGTTAAGGAGGAAAACTAAAATGAGAGTCCCCACAGCTTGGGGGAGGAGAGAGAGGATAGAGGAGTTGAGTGATGGGCACAGGAGCCTCCTCCTTGCAGGTGTGGGGTGTCAGGGAGGCAGCAGAACCTCAGAGGGACGAGGCAGGGCACCCCGTGTGCCCAGCACTGGATTCCAGAAGCATTTCCTGCAATTCTGTTTGATTACAACCTTTCCATGTACTCCAGTACTTCTCATGGAAACATTCTGAGAGCCGCACTGTGCAGCCACTGGCTGCACGAGGCTATGAGATATGGCTGGTGCACCTCAGACAGTGGTGCTGTGATTTCACTGAAGTTTAATCCATTTTCACTTAGATTCACCTAGCTAGCGAGACAGAAATGTGGTGTCTGAATTCTCCTTTGGCCCCAAAGAACATCAGAAACCCCTAAGTCATCGGTGTCCCGTTTTCCTGGGTTTGAGGGCTGGAATTTCCTTCTAGAGGTGATTTCTAGGTTCTTTCTGTCCCCAACAAAGAATTGGCCCATAAATGGTGGCAAAGTTTCACATTTATTAAAGGTAGGAAAAAACAGGCTCTACAGGGCAAGTTTAAGCCAAGTACAAGTTGGAAAAAGGGGGAAAAATTCACCCCACAGCATAGGGTGGGCTATCTGGACAGGTCACACCTACTTTCCCAGCCAGCCTTAGTCATCGCCTGCCTTTCCCGCCTTAGTCCTGGACCCCTGAGTCTTTTCAGCCCTGAACTCTCGGCTCCTTCCTTGACACACCTGGGACCTGGACCCGGCATGAGTGTGAGAGCCCAGGAGCAGTAATCCAGTCTCTCTGATCAGTGAGGGGTCTAAGGCACGCTACCTTTGACCGGATTTGGAGGACTCCAGAGGCCCATGACAGCCACAGAGCTCACAGAGGGGCTGGCTCAGGCCTCTGTGGGCCCCGCATTGCTGCTCAACTCCTTCACTCATTCTTGATGGCTTCCCTCCCTTCCTGAGCAGGTTAACCCCTGGGCAGCCCTCCACGTTTTGCATGCTCATCTCCATCTCAGACTCAGCTTCCGGTGTGCAGCAACACATAGGACCTTTTTTGTTTTTAAAACATTTTAATTACTGTAATGAGGTCAACGTTAGTTAAAATTCATTAAGACACCAGCTTGTAGGGGAAAAAAGGTCTTGAACACAAAGTACAAGTTTTACTGTGCTTTACATTGTAAACGTACTAACAAGAATGGGAGCATATGCATAATTAGAGCCTCAAAACACCCTGTTTCTAACACTGCTATGTGTCACATAATAAGCACAGACAAAGATTCTCTCTGTTTATGGAAATGCAAATAGTCACAAATTTGGAACTTTTCTTCACAGGGAATTTGTTGTGCACCAGAATCTAAATGTGATTCTTTTTAAAAAGACATTTTTGGCACATTTAGTTTTAAACATTCGTTTCAGTTGGAAAGTTACAGGGAATTAAGGAAACAGCAATAAGAAGAATGGGAACATTGACAGCGTACTAACACTGAAATTCATTTGACACCGACATCGGTATTAAGCACAGGTAGCCCTCTTCTCTTCTCATCACATCTAAGCTGCCCAAGCAGAGGAGGACAGGCTCGGAGGTCCTGACACTGGTTTCCCGTGGCCTGCCATCTCGGGTGCTCTTTCTCTAGCAGGGATGCTCATTAAGATCCAACATCGGGTCCTTCATTTGTGCTAAGTGTGTTTAGGGATGACTAATGGAAAAGTTTTCAGGGCCAAAATATGTTCAATAAATTAGATAATGTGAGATGAATGGTTTCCTAAACCCAAAGAGAGAAATGTAATCAACTACTTGCAAATTCAATTGCAGGACAGGCCCAAAGGTACATATGAACATTTTAATGATGTTTCATTATTTTAACTCTCAAGCTGTTACGCAATTGGAGGTGGGGAGTGAACATGGAGTTAGTGATAGAATTCACTTTTCTACAGACTGCAAACGCCTCATCAAAGGCTCTTCTAGGAGCTGAGAGCTGTCTTTCCAGTCTTCGCTTAGATCGAACCCTGGGCTGGGGTCTCATTACCTCCTGAGGAAGCATCCTGCTCTCAGAAGATCCATATTTAATAAAATGTACATGGTTGCATTACCAACTATAAAAGTTACTCAACCAAGAAATAGATTGTGAGGTGTATAGCAGATACAAGGGAGAGACTTAGTTCTTAATCTTTTTATTCAGGTTGAATCCTATAAATTGCCAACATTTGACAATTTTTGACCCATAAATCAGTGATTTCAAATTAGTAGTTACTAATATGGTTCAAATTAGTAGTTACTCATTTTAATGTAAACAAGAATGAGCCAACAATTGCTCCATTTTCAGTGAAGATTTGTTGCTTCTAAATTAAAAGGATGA